TGGGAAGGACAGGAAGGCCTGGCGTGATATGGTTCATGGGGTCACGAAGAGTCGGACACGACTTAACGACTGAACAACAACAAAAGTATTGATATGATTGCTTTTCTTAGAATAAATAGTAGTCATCTCAGATTGTGGGTGGGAGTGGATTTAGCTATTTCTCTACCCAAAATGATCCTGATCTGGATTCCCCATGCCCACCCCTGTAGGTGCTATTTGCTTTGGAAGAAAGCTCCCGTTGGCCCTGCAGATCCTTTGCATTTGATGCAGATAGCCCCCTCATGGGGTGTGTGCATCAGGTTTATAAATTTAATGCTGACAAGGGGCTCATTATCTTCTCTTTATTGCACATTTCTATGCCAGATCATCCCATCCCATCCCAAGACTGTTTAATACTTCAAAGAAGCCCGCAGTTCCTATTTGTGTTACTCTTATTTCATCATTTAGGTGCCAAGAAGTTTTAAAAAAGGCATAGAATGTAGAAGACAGACATGTACTGGTTTAGCACCTGTGCCCTTGCACCCGGTAAAGTAAAAGCAGGTCAGGAGTGGAGAATTTCCAGGAGAAAGTAGCATGAGAAATGTGAACACCACGATGAAGGAGGCAAAGAAAAGGTTAATTTCTCATTTCTTAGAGGCTTAAAATACAGATAGTGTCAGTATTCACCCATGGTGCAGAACTAATTAGCTGCTGTGTATGCATGTTGTCAGGCAACAAGGAAAAGTGTTTTTGACCTGAGCTTTTGGTATCCTATGGCACAGCCGTCCTCAAGCGCAGTAGTTAGAAAAGTACAGAATGCCTCAGTTTAGATCATGGTTCTAGACAAGGACCATATGAATTGACTTGTAGGATACTGCAATGACTGTAGTTATTCTGAAGCATTTATTTTATTTACCATTGGACTTAAGAGTTCCTGCCTCGCCACATATACTCCCAGGATGGTCCACCATAGAATAAAAATAATTTTAAAAAACCAAAATTAATCCCTGCGTAAAATCAACAGCAAAACAAAGTAAACAGCAGATAAAGCATGGCTGAGAGATGATAGAGGTGATAAATGGGCTTACGAAGGTTAAAAGCTTGGAAGAATAAAAAGGGCTGTTTACATTAAATGCCTGCTGGAAGTTTTAGGAAGCATCCCCAAAGGTGATGATGGGATTGCTAAGACCAGGTGCTGAAATTCAAAGGCACCTTCCTTGCCTGATACCCACGTCCCCTCAGCCAAGAGGTGCCTTTTACATCCCCCTTCTCTACCCTGATGCTCTTCATGTGGGTGGGATTTCTACTCCTGTAATGGAATTTGGTCCTACACAGAAAATAGAGGAAGGCTGTATTGGTTCTGGGTATACTGGTGTCACACCTCCCCCTCATTTTACAGCACAGATACGGTGTAATATATCTTCCTATTAAGCTTTGATCTGGATTCTGTTTTGTCTGTTTCTCTGTTGAAGGTAAAGTAGGCTACAGTATTATTCTTCATTCATTAAATAGTAATGAATTGAAAAGACAGCCTCTGTGGCCAATGAGAATAAGTGTCAAAGAACATTGGAGAGAATTAGAGTTGAGATTCGGATTTCATCTGTATTGTTTGACCTATGACCATTTCTTTTTCATGGGGAATTGGTGGAAGTTAGGGTTTTTTTGTTTTTTTGTTTTTGGTGCCTTCGAGTCATTGTTGACTCCTGGTGACTGCCTGGACTAGTCCCTGTACAGTTTTCTTGGCAAGATTTTTCGGAAGTGGTTTGCCATTGCTTCCTTCCTAGGGCTGAGAGGGCGTGACTGGCCCAAGGTTACCCAGCTGAGTTTGTACCTAAGGCAGGACTCATGGTCTCCCGGTTTCTAGCCTGATGCCTTAATCGCTGCACCAAAGTGGCTCTCTGAAAGTTAGTTAAGGTTTGTTCATTCACTAGCACTGCAGGACTGCTCTACACATTCTCAGAGACACTTTAAAAAAAAAATCATAATACAAGTTACTAGGAATATGCCCTAATTCTGATGGCATGATGTAGTAACTCCCATCCTGGTGCCTTCTAGATGGGTGAACTTCAACTCTTGGCAATGACCATGCTGGCCGGGGAATTCTTTTTTTATTTTATTTATTTATTTAGAACAAAGACATAATTTCAGAAGATATAATATTGATAAGTGAACAAGTTACACAATTAATGCTCAGTATAACATTAATAAAAGATTAACCATACTAGACAAAGTACACTGAGTTATTTTTATGGTCTGAAAAAGATATATAAATCTTTAAGCTTAGTGCTGAAATCTTCACTATATTGTTATTTGTAACTGGTAAAAAAGAAGAGAAAAAATTAAGTAGAAAGAGAGGAAAAAAAACCCTACTAAAAATAGTATAAATAAGTATTTCGCTTCTGACTTCCCCCTTCTTTGTAATCCAACTCATTTACCCTATGTATAACCATAAACTTTAGAAACCCTACTCTAAATATTTGTATTTGCCTTGCAGTGTGATATATAGTATATATGGAAGCCATTCTTGCTTAAATTTAATTGCTGCATATTCTCCAAGTTTAAGTTCTGACTGGGGAATTCTTAAAATTGAAGTCCACACACCTGGAGGACTATCACATTCAGCAAAGAGTGATATGAAGGTGGTAACTGACAGTTCTGCCTTTCTCAAAAGCATTTTCTGTCCACATTGCAAGCCTAGAAGAGCGGAGACAAACATAGAACTAGGGTTGGTTCTCAAGACCAAAGTTCAGGGCTCTGCACACTGCCCCTGAAATGTCTACCCACAAACAGACCCAACATCAATACAGTATCTTGGTTGACATGAGCTGCTGCAGCATTCCCCTCCCCTTTCTCCAGGGTCAGAATCTCCTGCCACGCCATCATTACATTACACACTCATGCTCATGTTTCTTACATTTATTTATAAAATATTATCTTCTGCAATAAAATGTGTTGATTCTGAAAGAGAGTGAATAAGTCAATGGTCTAAAATCAGCTAGCCGCGGCACTGCACAAACAGTGAGATAAGGCTATTAGAGCTTATTGGATTTGGGTTGGCCACTTGCAAGGAGCGTTCATGTGGTTGCTTGTGTGTCCCATCCTATTGAACCAATCAAGGAAAGAGTTTCCAAGTTTCTTGCCATCGACATTGCCTTGTACCCTGAGCTGGGCTGCACTGTAATCTCCTTTTTCTCCCCATTTTTTCTCTTTTCTTAGACATCCTCCTAGATGACATTGTCCTTACCCACTCATTGTTCTTGCCCACGGAGCAGTTCCTGCATCAGCTGTACCAACAATATCCTTCCTGTGAACTTTTGGAGAAGTGCCTTTAAGAGGAAGGAGGACTGGGACAAAAATGTCCATCTCACTTTTTATATTTTCATATTCTTGGTTCTTGTTGAATTTTGTTATTCTACCTTGTGCTATTGCAGAATTGGTTCTTGGATGTTCAGGTTAACTTCCTGAGAATTTAGCTATAGTTCTCATTTTAAAAGCATAATTTTCAATTATGAATTGAAAATATGTGAGTAGCACCGGGTGAAATATTAGGAGTCAGCAAATGGGATTCTACTGCCCACAGCTGTATGATTTTAGTACCCCTTGACCTTGGTAGAGTATGGCTAGAAGCTGCTGAAGAAATGATGCTAAATGAGTTACATAAGAGGGTAATTAGTATTTTTTAAAAAGCAGCTGCTTTCAAGGAAGCTTACTGAAAAGTCTTAGCAAAAATGGCCTTTAAAATTCAAATAATACATTGTAAGGGACAACTCACCTTTTAAAATTTTATTCTGCTAGCAAATCACTGAAAAAAATGATGTCATTCAGTATTACTGTCTTCCTTTTCTACTTTACTGGCTGTTGCTTAAGGAGAACAGGAAAATACTGGTACAATGGTATCATGCCACCTGTTCTTTTAATTCTGTATGATTTGTGAAATATGGCTGGCAATATCCTTATAACCCTCTCTTCAGCTTATCCTTAAGAGAATGCTATCATCAGCTGCACTCTTATTTAGATATAGGCTTCATTTTGTTCAATGATGTTTTCTTCCTAGGAAACATGTAAGGGACTGTCATTTTAATCTTTTTTTTTGGTACCTTTATTGAACTTCTCCAGAGACAGATCTTGTCCTATAGATATGTCCTATTAAGATAGCATAAGACACCCTCTAAAAAGCCTAGAGTTTAGATGGACTTTATTGTTTTCAGTCAACAGGTAGCAGTTAAGCTGCTCTTCCCTGTTAAGTAGCCCCTTCCATCTTCTCCATCAATATGGATACTGATGGATTAAAGGTGCGTATACATACATGGAATGCTACTTAGTCCGGTTTTGTGAGTTACCAGTGACAGCACAAAGACACACATGTACCTGTCAGCCCAGCTTACTGTGTTTTCTTAGGATTATAGTGCAGTGAGACCTTATCTGCTCAGATGAGCTGTTTCAACTACCCTTTCTATTTTTTATCTGCTTTCTGTACCTATGATCTGGAAATATGCTCTTTTTTCCTTATAGAAGAGCTGAACCTAAGTAAACAGGGATGCTAGAACAATCATTAAATGGAGGCAGTTATTACTTTTATTTACATTTTAACCCCTCCAGTCTTCCAACAAACTCAGTTATTTTATGCAGCCCATGCTCCCCATTTTATTTTCATAGCATCAACCCAATGAAGTAAGTTAAGCTTCCCTGACCTGGTACACCTTTGATGTGATAGACTTACCACTTTCAGAATTCCCAGTTTGCAGGGCAATGTTAACTGGACATTCTGGATGGTATAGGGCCACTATATCAAGAGGAGTTAGGAAAGGTTGTATTAGCCCAAAGTGAGCCAGAGAGCGGGTGGCTGGATGGCAGTTTAAACCCAGATCTCCTGGTCAGCATTCAACAATTGAACTGCTCCCTGTCTAATGTAAACTGGAATCCTCGGTAGACAGTTTTATGGTGGTATGCACTATGTTTCAAATTTGAAATGTTTTAAGCTGTATTCCACAACCTCCTACCCCTTCATTTGAATTTCAGAAATTGTTTTGAGTTTGAAACAAGATATTCCAACCTTTCCAGAAGTACTCTGATGCTATTCCAGCCACATCATCTCCCTTTATCAGAGACATTTCTGGACATGGATTGGTCAGAACACACTTCTGATAAGTTTGGAACATCTTTTTTTCTTTTTTTTCAGATTGAAATGGAGACTTTTAAGATCAAAATGTTCAGAATTTCAAATGTTTTGCATGCCTTTACAGTTTTGTGATTATTTGGAATATACATAAACTGACACATTAAATTAAGATCAACTGCCTAGTAGTGCAAAATTCTTTTGATTTTTCTTATTACCATCTGGACTCAGATTAATTCCACTTCATCCCCAGACCTGTCATTTGGGATACTTTCTCCCCTGAAATTGTTTGTTGTTTCCTGAAACCCCATGCTATGGATTTGCCTTAACCTGCCTCTGGCTACCTTCATGACGGCATCAGCAATCCCATCACCACCATGCTGGAAAGAAGATGAGGCTGTGCACCGGAAGCGAGCGGTTTTGATAATTTTATTGCACTTCCTTGAGACATTCAAGGGGATCCTGCAAGAAGAAGAGAAGGCCGGCAAAGTCATCAAGGTATACCAGAGCTGTTCTAGCCCTGCTTTCATGAGAACTAGCTAATTAAGAAATGAATAGGGCTAGATTACAAGATCCCAGTCATTGTTTTCCTAAATGTTATTTCATATCTCTGAAGAGGCAAGTCTTCATGCCTGGGTAGATATCAGTGGGCCGTAGTTGCTATTCCTTTGCTTAGGCAGCTAGATATCATTTGGCCCAAGCAACGTTCTCTTTTCTTTCAGGATCTGTATCTGCTGATCATGAAAGATGCATCTCTCTACCACAAACTGGAAGATGAAATCCTGAAATTACATCAGCTTGTGGAGACAGTGGAGCTCAAGTAAGTTAAAAATGGCAACATGGATGGTAGAGTGTTGGTTCCCATTTGGGCTTAATCCCAGCAAGACAGAATAGCTGTGGTTATGGAAGCCTTTTCATACCATTTTTGATTCTGAATGGGGTTTAACTATCCTGGGTGGAATTAGTTCATAATATGGTGGTCCTCCTGGATTGCCACCTCTTGCTTGAGGAGCACGTGGAAGTTGTGACTAAGAAGGCCTTTGCACAATTACATCCTGTGTGCTTGTTACAATCTTATCTGGATCTGGAAGCTCTACTTACAGTTGTATCTTGTCTAGACTATTGCAGTGCATTCTATGTGGGACTGCCCTTGATAATCATCTGGAAACCAACTGGTCCACAATGCAGTAGCTTGAATAATGATGGGTGCTGCTAGGGATTCACATGTCAAACCTCTACTATGGGAGCTGCACGGGCTACCTGCTACTATGGGTGGTAACACTTTTAAAGCTCTCCATGATTGGGTAGCTGGGTCCTTCAGGACCACTTACTCCCAAGGAGGGGATTAAACACTGACATTTCAAACTGGGAATCAGTTATTCCTTAGTTTTGCATGGTTTAATATCCATGAATAGCCATAGATTCTGGTCAGATATAGAGATGAAACAAAGTTGTGTGGCATCTCCCCCATTAAGCACTAAAATCTAATCTAAACTAAGCTAACAGCTAAAACGTAGTGGCAGGAGGGAATAGTGTGTGAAATACTTGCTTAATCCTTTAGCTTCTGGGCCATTTTCCCATTCAAAACGCTTTTCTTCTCTGGAGTATGTACATACTTCCCCTTGTGAGTAGATGAGTAAGATGATAAAAAGTGTGATTTTATCTCCCTCCCTTAAATGGCCAGGAGGGGAGAAAGGAATCAACTCCCCATTTCTCTGCCTAAATTCACAGCTGTGACCTTCAAAACAGGCTTTTTAAAATAAAATGGTTGTTGCTTGGAATTTGTATCCTGCCTTCTGTCAAGTGGTGCTCAAAAATGTTAACCACAGTAATACAAATATAGCAAAATGTGGTAAAAGGCTACACGGTATCATTAAAACAGAAAGGAAAACAGGTACGGAAGGTGAAGTGTCCAGTTGGGGAAAGAATTCTACCTCCAAGGGGAAGATCTAGGTTGGCTTTCTTGGGAAGTTTAAATGAGGCTCAGCCCTTACTGTGGAAAGAATAGAAGAGTCATGATATTTAGCAATTTGTGCACAGCAACCCTGTCTAGTAACTTGATATTAGCCCAATACTAGATTTAGTCAGAGGTCAAAGATGAGTGGGGGCTTATAAAAAAAGGTACCCAGCAAATCTTAGCCAAGCAACTTTCCAGTTAGTAGCTTATAGTCTTAATTTTGATGCTATACCGTAGTCAGGTTCTAATATCATTAAACAGTATTTTGTTTAATCATAGTTTGTGTAAATCACAGTTGCTTGGCTGACTAAGGGTCTTTCTCCACTGACGAGTTGAAGTGGTATGCACCCATCCTTGAGCTGGCAGAGAACTATACTGGCAAGAAATTGGCTGTCTCCATTGCTAAATTTTATCCTGCCTCTAATGGTTCCAATCAATTCAGTCATCTGACCTCCCTCCAAGGTAATAGGTGACAAAGCCAAACAGATCTTACACATCTTTACACATCTGGGGGGTTGTCCCCCCCCCCAGCATCTTACAGGTTTTTTAGGGCTAAAATCATAAGAAGTTTTTAGGGCATTTTTAATATATGTTTTTAATTATTTATAGATTTTATCCATGTTTGGAGAGACCTGTGTTTTTTCTTCTTTCCTATTATTGTGAGCCGCCCAGAGTCACCCGTTGGGGTAGATGGGTGGCATACAAGTCTGAAAATCAATCAAAATCATAAGAAGTTTTTAGGGCATTTTTAATATATGTTTTTAATTATTTATAGATTTTATCCATGTTTGGAGAGACCTGTGTTTTTTCTTCTTTCCTATTATTGTGAGCCGCCCAGAGTCACCCGTTGGGGTAGATGAATCATAAGAAGTTTTTAGGGCATTTTTAATATATGTTTTTAATTATTTATAGATTTTATCCATGTTTGGAGAGACCTGTGTTTTTTCTTCTTTCCTATTATTGTGAGCCGCCCAGAGTCACCCGTTGGGGTAGATGGGTGGCATACAAGTCTGAAAATCAATCAATCAATCAATCTTGAAGCTGCTGTTGGATTTGTTGGGACACAGAGGAAAATACAACACCAATATAGCTAAGGGCATTTAAACCTGTCTCACTTGTGGGCTGGGGATGAGATGCACTGAGATGAGGACATGGCAGAAGAAAGATGTTACCTAACAGGATTACGTACAAGTGGGGAAAGGCCCTTAACCATAAATCATGATTTTCAAAGCTTAATAACTAGGTTCAATAACTTGCTGAACCAGAGTCAGTCAAACCATATCATTCATCTCGTTGACTGAATTTGCATGTCATGCTTATTCAGTGTTAACTTAACCTTGGCTTACTCAGTCACATGTTGGGGTCTGCATGGCACACGGAATCATATACTAACCACATTGGCTGAATTTGCACAACACACTAAGTTAAAATGTGATTGGCTGGTTTGTGGCTCAGTGAACTGTGTGAACCACAGCTGTTGTGGACACTGTTGCTTCCTTCTGTTCTGGCTTCTAAAACTTGCCATCTGGCTACAGAGTGACCGAAGAAACCCACCCGTCCAGCAAGCAAGTCAAACCTTTGTTCAGACATTTCCGGCGCATTGATTCATGTCTTCAAACTCGGGTTGCTTTCCGTGGATCAGATGAAAGTGAGTAACAAAGAGCGAGTTTGGCAGTGGGGTGGAAAAGAGAGTAAAATCCCACTTGGGCTCTTTTTAAAGATTTGTTCATAGAAACTAAATGAGGATAGTGATTACAATTTCATCCAACCATTGGCAAACATTTACAAATGCATGCATTCCCTTGAATAAATTAGATAGGAATTGCCAGGCAAGTTTTTCAGACTGGAATGTCCACTTGGAATGTTGAGAGCATGTTTTGGCATTCTCTCAAAATGATTGTCATGGTGGGATTTCTGCATTTCCAATCAGGAGTTAACTCTCTCCTAGGGACTATATTAGGGAAAATGTCACAATGACATCTGCTTTCTTTCCGCCTGCCCTGTTACAGCCCTTTCAAAGTTCAGAAAATAAGAGATCAGAGAAAGGGAAAAAAGAGAGTAAAAAGCAATCAAGTTAGTTTAATGCAGTGTTTTTCAAATTTGCTGGCTGGGGAATTCTGGGAGTTGAAGTCCACACATCTTAAAGTTGCCAAGTTTGAAAAACACTGCATTAATGCCAACTTTTTCATTGGCTCCAGTTCTTCTGTCTTTGCAGCAAAAGGTGTGCCAGATGAAGCAAGAACAAGTTTTTCCACCTACTAGAAGCACAGGAGTTTGGGGAAAATGTGGCAACCCTACTTAATGTTGTCAAGAATATGTAGATATTGTGCTGCATGTTAGGCATAGCCAATCACAGAGCGCTCATTTAGAAAGAGGTGAGGTTTCTCTCCACTATCCTTTTTAAATCCCAAACATGCTTTCTATCGCTTAGGTGGTCATTCCTAAAAAAAGAGGTAGGCTACACTCATTTATCATTTTGATTGAGTAAGGACATCTACGTAGCCTAAATGGTGCTCAGAAACATTCTTAGGAGTAAAAATAATGTTTCAGGCTGATGCTTTGCTTTGAAGCATGTCACCTTCCCATTTATTTTGTTTTATTAAAATCCAGAGTCAGATGAGGGATGGAAACTGGCATGTGCCAAAGGATGTATCAACAGGCACATTGACTATTCTTAGTTTACCTCAGCCTTCCTTAGCTTGGTACCTTCCAAGTGTGTTGGACCAATTCCCGTAATTTCCAAAGAGCTACAAAGAATTACGCTTGAGACTATATTGGTCCAACACCTCTAAATGGAATTAGTTGGGAGAAGTTTTGTGTACATTGGTTGAGCAGCAGGAATTCTTCAAGTTTGAGACAGGAATATTTCTCAACCCTACCTAAAGTTTTTGGGGTGTGGCCAGCATTGGCATGATGTCATGGTAGTGAGTTGAGCCAAAAATTAGCCCATGTGTAGGATGTTCAGTGGATTTAAAGAATGAAAAGTATCCTATCAGTGATTGTTTCCAGCAGCACCAAATTAGGTTTGTAATGTGGGCAGGAACAAACCGAGATACTGATGCCCTGTGTTCCCAAGAACTCATGTGCATGAGAAGCTGGGCTTTTCCACCAGCTGAAATTTCTGAACGTCCATCAAAGAAAGTCTCACACAAATCAAATTATACAAGTCAAACTTATCATGCCAAGAGTGACGTCTCAAGGTCTGCATCTGAGAGGAAGAGCCTTGACCTCATTAAGAGGAGGAAATAAGAAGCATTCTTGGTCATTGCTATAAATATGGTCTTTTGGCTGTGTGATGAATCCAGGAAACTCCTTAATGGTGTCCAGAAGGAACAGAATTCCACCAGTGTTGAGAGTTCCTACCCTTTCCATATTGCAGGATCAATATTACAGGCTTTTCCAGATTTTACATGTTCACTTGACTGCATCCGGTCTCCAACCATGGCCAGAGTCAGAGAGGCAGTGATAGGATTCAAGGCATCATTGCAGTCTCTTGCTATTCCAGGTTTCAGCAATTTGGTTGTCTCCCTTTTTCCTAGTCTTCTGCCGTGTCTACATGCCAGACCACTCCTATGTCACCATCCGCAGCCGCCTCTCAGCTTCTGTGCAGGACATCCTCACCTCAGTGACAGAGAAACTTCAATATTCTGATGAACAGCCTACACGGGAGGAAGCTCTCATTCTGGTGGCCGTTGCATCATCAGGAGGTATCTGTCCCTCAGGAAGAGCGATAGTGACACCTGTGTGCTTTCGTTTATCCTTCTGCAACCTTGAAACTCAGAAACTTTCAGACTTCAGAAAATAAAAGATCAAAGAGGGAAAAGCACAGCCAGGTTGTAGTTACTATTACAGATTAATGCCACCTTTTTCACTGGCTCTGGTTCTTGTGTCTTCAATGGCAGGTTCATTTTGCTCCTGGTCAAAATGAAACACATCTAGGTTTTCTTGGCTGTTGCACCAGAGTGAGGCCTGAGAAGAAGGCGGGAGACCTACCCAGTGCCTACAGGGCCATGCTAGGTACAGAGTGCTCAGGGGCACATGGATAAAAGGAAATGTGCATAAATAAAACTGCAGCAAAAGTGAAACAGGGTAATGAATTCATGAATTATTACTAATTATTGGAGTATTCAGTAATGGAAGTTTGAATAAAAGATAGTTCTGTTGCATATTGTTCCTTTGTCTGCGTTGTGGGACGGTTAACGAGTGAAGGTCCTTGTGCCTAGACCTTGGTTTTAAGACTGGGAAAGTCTCAATATTTAAGTCCAGAGCTAAAGATGAAATAATCTGATTGCCCCATATCCAACCAGTCAGTGGTAACTCTCCAGGGTGCTCAGATGCACAGAACAGGACAAATGACTTTTCTGGAAGGTCTACCCTCAGGCAGTCCAGATCTGATTTTCTGTCAGGAACTCCATTGGTGCCAGATGACTCAAAGAAGTGAATCAAGCTACATGCTGAAACAGAAAATGTGCGTTCATGTGAGGGGCGATGAGTCAAAAGGCGTTTGCTCAATCTGAGTTGGAGGAAAAGGGCCACCTGGTGTGGATGTGAACCTAAAACTACCTTATTTTTCTAATGAAAATGTTATGGGATATATTTATATGCCAGTCCAAATAATCCAACAACTTTCAATCACTTTCATCCCTAATCTCAGAGAAATCTGTGCTACAGCCTAATGAAGAGTGTGTTTTCACTACCTTGGGGATAAACAGCCATCTTTTTGCCTGCACAAAGGATACTTTTCCATCCCTGGTAAGTGAATTTCCTTATGTGTTGCTCTCCTGGCTGGCCGTGAGGAGGGTTGACATGGCCTTTTGTGTGGTGGGCACTTTGACCAGTTTGTGGTTGGAGTTACTATCTGTGTTCAGGGTCACAGTTCATCTTTACATTCCATCTTTTCTTTTTGATTCCAACACATGTAAAAATGTCTCTCTCCCTCCCTCCCCTTCCCAATATATATGTTTATAGAAAGAGAGACATACACACACACACAGAAACACACACACATCCATACCCATCAGTTTGACCTTTTCTGCAGGTCCCTCTCCCAGAGGAAATCCAAGTGTCGCCAGGTGACACAGAGATCCACCGGATGGAAGCAGAGGACGTAGCAAATCACTTGACAGCCTTTCACTGGGAATTGTTCCGGTGTGTCCATGAGGTGAGCAAGCCAAACATAACTTTCCCAACTTGATGCCTTCCAAATACTTTTGGACACTGACTTCCAGGCACATCCTGATGTCAGCATACAAGGAGAGCTGAACTACACATCAGAAAAGCTTCATGTTCCTACCAATGTGTAATTTTGTACTGCACTGAGTGTTCCCTTTGAGATGCTAGCTTTCTTTGGATAGGGTGAGCTTCTCAAAAGGCCTGTTCAAACTCTGCAAGGAGAATGATGCTATCTGCAATTTTCAATGAATTTTCAGAAATGGAGAACGTTGGGTGAAGTTTTGCACTTCAGAGTAGGAGGCGGCTCTCATGATTGAATGTTTGGAAAAAAGATGAGGCTAGGAACTTTCTCTCTGACACACTGGTCATTTCTTCACTAGAGACTTAGAGCAACTTACAGCATCACCCAGCCATCATTGAAGTGCTATCAAGCTTGCCCTCATTACTATTATATCAGCACAACAGTGGTTCGATGACTTGGGAAGATGGGGATCCCACCATAGTGTTTTGAATGGAAGAGATGTTTGTATAGACCAGTGTTTCTCAACCTCAGCAAGATGTGTGAACTCCAACCCCCAGAATTCCCCAGCCAGTGCTGGCTGGGGAATTCTGGGAGTTGGAGTCCACACATCTTAGAGTTGCAAACACTGATCTAGAAGAACATGCAGTCATGTGACCCCTACATTCTGTGGGCTGAACTGATACAATATGAAAACTCAGCTTTACTTAGCCTTATCTTTCCTCCAGTTCAGTTTCTGCCCTTCTCTCTCCTTGTTATGTGTGAGATAGAATGATCAACAAAAGGAGTTCATTTTGATGAGATGTTTGGCACCATGACTGCAGGGTGAGGCCTTCAGTCTAGGCCTCAGAAGGCACACTGGTTACTATCTTTCTCTCTCAAATTCTCTATAGCTAGAATTTGTGGACTACGTGTTCCATGGCGAGCGTGGCCGACGGGAGACAGCCAATCTGGAATTGCTGCTGCAGCGCTGCAGCGAGGTTCAGCACTGGGTGGCCACTGAAGTGTTACTCTGTGAATCTGTAGGGAAGCGGACTCACTTGCTCAAGAAATTCATCAAGGTTGCTGCTGTGTGAGTGCCATACTTTGGTCCTTTTCCCACAATGGAATGAGGTTTAATACAGTCATAATGTCACTGATGATGACGCTCCTTCTGTTACATGATATGAGATTGTCAATCCTTCCCAAATGTTCAAAGCCCAGCCCTTTTTACATGAGCAGCATGGCTGATGCAAGTAAAAAAACAGGCAGAGCTTCAAACGCACAGTTGTGGCCGCCATCTGGACATTTTTGACACACAGACACACACACATACACACATGCACACGGATGCTCTGGCTAGAAGAACATGCTGCGTTAAGGGAAATGGTTTAAAATTCAGAAGGAGAATCACTGAAAATGTTCAGCTTCTTTGAATTTCAGCAGCCCCAAAGAGAGGGTGCATTAAGTCCTCGGGAGGTTACAGGCAATCATCTTGCTGTCCAGTTACCGGCCGTTCACATCTTCTTTTGGCCAACTTCCAGTTCTTTCATGAATATATTCCAATGTCTTTAAATCTGCACAATAAGAATATGGGAATTCTGAGAAGTCTGCAAGATATACCACGCTTTGCCCAGTGAAATCTTTGCTTTTCTGTCTTTCCATTTTCCTCCACTCTTGTTCTGTTCAACCATTACGTTCCTCTCTGCTTCCTCCCTGCATGCTCAGTCCTTCCCCTCTCCTCTGGTTCCTTTAATGCTAATGGCCAGGAAAGTCAAACCATCATTTCACCATCCAAGTTGGCTTTAATACCCTATGACAGCTGTGCTGTTGCTCAAGCTTCCTTCCCAGCTGGTTTATGGCACGGAGGGGATGCTGCAGCAGGAAGGCCTGGGGGCTGGAGGAGGAGGAAGAGATTGAGCACAGCTATGAAACATACTTAGAAACAAACTGGGTGACAAATTATGGCTTTGAAAGCTATTTTTCAAGTTAGAGATGCAGGCTAACTTCCTGGTTTTGCAAAAGTCATGGTTTGGTTAAAAAGGATAGTTGTCGCTTATGGATTTCATGGAAGACACTGTTGACTTTTCCCTCATTGTTCACCTAGCTAGCACTTACTTTTAGCATCCTGCTAATCACAGAACTAACCATTTTTATAGGTCATGTCTTTATGACATCCCTTTTGTCTCACCCCAGCCCACCATGGAGGCAGATACATTGAATTTGGCAGCTTCAGATTATGCTGGTGCCATGATACTGGTGATAAGGCCACACCCACTCTCATTTCACTTGCCACCCCTCTGAGCCTTGGCAGCCTGCCTGGGCTCAGAAGGGTGGCAAGAGAAGGTGGAGGGATTTATTTGCTTGCAATATTTAGGAAACACCCCAACCCAAGTGGACTCTACAGCTGCCACAAATTACTCTGTGGAATCAAGAACAGGCTGCTAAAAAACTGCTTCTCCCTTCTTGCCACCCTGCACAAATACAGTGGTCTCCTGGAAAATTCCTAGACCACTGTTTCTCAAACTTGGCAGCTTGAAGATGTGTGGACTTCTACTCCCAGAATTCCCCAGCCAGCATACTATCTGCCTTGTCTTGCTTGCATTCTGTTAGTCAGACAGGTTTGAACTCATTTGGTAGACTTCCAGAGGGTTATTAGATATGCTTCCAGGATGGATCACCTGATGCACAGAGGGGATTCTACTGGTAAAGCAGTGCCTGATCTTGGGCAGGCTGCCCAGTAAAGCAGAACATTGTCTGCTTTATGAGAAGAAACACACACACACACACACACACACACACACACACAGACAGGGATCAGAACCTCAGAACCAGGGACCGATTTTCACTTGTTTCCTGCCTTAGGGAGAACAGTTGGTGGTAGTTTTTCTGTAGGCTGGCGATGCCAGGGGAATCCATCAATCATTTCCCTCAAGTTGTCCCACCATAAAACTGTGAGGACAGTACCAGTTGTTGGCCTTGTGGTGAAGTAGAACAGTCCTCAGCAGTGCAAGATATGTTGGCATAATTTTATGCTGACTCGTGGGCTGGAGGAAAGTACAGTCACACAGTTGAAAGGAAGATACCTTAGTGTCCAAAGGATGCTAGATGGTATACAAACACCTCTGGTTTTCCAAAAGAGCCAGAGCTCTGCTGTTCCCTTACAAAATGTGTTCTTGGGAAGTCCCACCATTAACCTGTGGATTGACATCTGGAGCCAAATGGTGAGCCTTCCCAAAGCTACCAATTGCCAAATAATAGTATATTTAATCTGTATTCAGCGAACAAGCACTGGAGACAGAAAAATAGAGACTATGTTCACATGTTGCTTGACTAAGCATAGTTTAATGAATAAAACCCAGTTGGCTTGATTCACATAACCCATTAAGCCAAAACCAAACAAATCACATTAGGATTTTGTGTGTAATATGTGAACCCACTCAGAGTAGAGTTGCGTCACCAAACTTCATGGTACAACTGGTTTGGCTTGCACATCATGCTAAACAATGATCTGCTTAAACACAGCGGCAGAGTTAACATAAAATCCTAAACCCAAACTAAAACCCATTTTGGTTTTATATAATACATGTTGGGAGAAAGGCAGCATGTTGGATTTGTTTCTGCCATTCCACTATTTTGTGACATATTCAGCCAGATCATTCTAAGACTCAGCATTTTGTTCCAACATGGATCTTGGGATAAAATGTGATCGAGGCAGAGTGCTTTATCCACACTTAATACCTAATGTTACCTGTCAAGTACCTTGCTGCAAGACCAGTCCATTCTTTCTCCACCACCCAGAAGAAAGGACTTTTGGAAGATTCTCTCTCTTCCAGCATCCAGGGACAAGGACAGGGAGTCAGACTGTTCACAAATTGAGGTTGCTCCTGCCACACCATTTTTTTTCTCTTCTTTTCATCTCCCCCCTCCCCCTCCAATGGCACTCAAGAATGAAATGGCAGAAATGCTGACTGCAATTAAGGTAACAGAGATTTAAGTGGAATTAAATCTTACGGGTGTAAGTAATAAGGTGATAGGTACAAAGGGGCTATGATAGCAGCCAAGATGGCTTCTCCTCTTTTACCCATAGGTATCAGGCTAAGTTAAATTAAGGGCAAGGGTGGTAAAATCAATTGAAATTGCTCAGTTTTAATATTTTGCTGCTTTGATTCTTAGCTGCCTTTTTGTTTTCTCCCCATAGATGTAAACAGCATCAGGATATGTTAACCTTCTATGCTGTGGTTATAGGACTGAACAATGCACCTGTCAGTCGTCTGCGCCTCACCTGGGAGGTAAGATGGTGATGAGGAGAAACTGATTTTTGTATGTTTGTAGGTACGTCTTTCTGTGTTATCTTTCTTTCTCTCTCTTAGACACACCATTTCCTCACCCAAATTTTGCAGTTAAGTTTTTATATTTCTAAAATATTTCAAAATGGCCAAGGATATACTGTACAATATTATTTAATTTTTCAGTGCATCCTGCCAAATTATCCTACTATATAATCAGCATCTTAAAAACAATTCAAAACTACTGGACATTAGATCCAGATTTCATTATGACTGGAATAGATGCACTTCAGTTGGGTGAGTCTGAAGTATTTCCTTAGTTTCAACTGGTCCATTCTAAGAGTCTTTACTCACTTGCCTCTAATCATGTCACAAAAGATGTTTTCTAACATCTTCTTTGTGCTGTGTCCTGTGATGCCTTCATTTCATTGAGAATTGCAGTTATACAGGTGTTACAGTAGAGTTTTCCTCACTCCAACGCTGTCAATGTCCATTTTATGGTATGAAATCTGTTAGGCTTTGTTACTCATTACCATAGAGAGAAATTAAGTAACTCCAGTGATTTGGAACAGAGGCAGGATCAGAGTCAATAATAGGAACAGCAGATTTTATGACGCTGGTATAGCTTTCTTCCAATTCAAAATTGTTGAATAACACTTCAACTCAGCAGTGAAAGGCCCTTTGAATGACTAGCAGTGGTTCACTTCTCATGCTAAGTTATGATTTGCTGTAACCATGGGTTCACCTGTTATAAACTATAGTTTATCATTAGGGCAGACTGCAGTGGTTGAATCTACACAATATGATAAGCTGGAACCAAACCAAGTTCTTTATGACTTGATGTGATGTGTGAAATCCAGCTTATGTCTGGCTCTAATGCATGAAAAGCAAAACAAAAACAAAACAATTACTCATAAGAATCAGCCAAAAAGGTTTCTCTGAGCAGGGAGATCCAGAAATATCAAAGAAGCAGCTCTATTCTTCCTCCTTGCTTGGATAACGTTTGAACTCAGAATGGAGTTTCTCCAAAGTTTCCAAGAAACTAGCAGGAAGTATATCCCATTGTATTCCATGGAACTTGCTTCTGAATAAAGCTATGAGGATTAGGTTGCAAACCAAGAACATACAATATCTATCTACATATCTATATTTATATAGCCTAGAGTTATCCCAGTAGTTGTGTGTGGCAGCATATAAATCAGTCGATCAATTAATAAATACATAAGATCTACTTATCTATCTACCTACTTATATCTCACAACTCATATTGTGAGGTATGTATTTTTTTTTTAACGATCTGGTAAACCAGAGTATCTGATACCACGGAAAAAGGCAAAGGGAACATAGTTGCTTCTAGTGTTTTCTTTGTACTTCTGTGGAGTATGAATTTTATCTTTTTATTTCCAATCCAATGGGATGCTGGGAAGAAATTGTATGTAAAGAGGGTCAGAACTCTGTTTATCAACAAGGTAAGTCTCCCAAAACTGAACACAGTGGGTCCAAGTTCAGTGGGGGAATAGTAGCCCACAAAAGAAAGATTGAGTTCACAAATAGGCCTGATGTGGTGCTACGGGAGAAAAATGATCCTGAAAAATTCCCTTGAAGCATCTCAGTGGTCCAGGCATTTGATCAGTGATTTGGAATATTCCTGACTCCTCCATTCTACACTCCTCTCCCTTCCTGGCCATGTGACCCAGATTCTAATCCCCTTTTATAGAGATTGTAAAACTGATTTGATGGATTAAGACTAGGTTTGTTCATAATATTATTTTTCAAACTGGGCAACTTTAAGATGTGTGGACTTCAACTCCCAGATTCCCCAGCAAGCATGCTGGCTGGCGAATTCTGGGAGTTGAAGTCCATGCATCTTAAAGTTGCCCAGTTTGAAAAACACTGGTTTATAAGGTTTTCTGTATTCCTTCCTTAGCAAAGTTAGATTTTGGCAGACACTGAGTAAGAGTTTGCTTGGGCTCAGGAACCTGCTAAATCAATAGCAAAGCCTATGTAACAACTACAAACTGCTCACAAGCCCCAGCATTTTGAAAGATCCAGTTTTGGTCTGGTTTCAGATAAATCAATATACAGCCAGCTAGAATCCAACCTTGAAACAAACCGACGTCATGGGAAGGTGCAGGTCCAAGCACAAACCATCCGCAGTATAAAAAGTCCGTCTGGAAGGTCTTTGAGTCCTTTCTCCCGTCCCTTTTGTTCTCACTATTTTTGTGCATATGCACGTTTTCATTTTACAGATGGGGACATTGGATGGGAAAAGAAAGAAGTGTCGTAGAAAAGTCTAAAATGCATATTTATGTGAATGTTTTAATTGTTTTAAAGCATTTTACCCCACTCTTCAACAATGGCTTTCATTTTATCAGAAGGTGCAATGGCCTTTGACTAGGCTATTTAAAGAAGCGCTGTTGATGAGATGTCACAGTTCTTCCTCTGCTGTTCTCAGGGCAATTGATTTTAATGGTCTCAGCAAGACCCGGAGGGTAGTCTCATCTTGAGGAGCAGCAGCCAATGGACAAGGCTTTGATTACAAGTGTGCCTTGCCGGGTGTTTCTTCCTCTACTGATCACAGGAATGAGGAACGGAGTGAGCCATTAGTCAGCAGTGTTGGACAGAGAGGGTTTCCACACCTTATTATGGAATTGCTATCCTTTGCACATTTTTTTAGCAGAGGAGCCAGACAATGCCAGTGATAAATCATCGCACTTCATGTTTTCTATGTTTTCAGCCTTTTTATTTCCAACATGATTTGTGGCAATTTATTTTTTTACTTCAAAAAAAAGGAGAAAAATTAGCTGTGCCTTTAAGGAATCATTTTGCAAAAGAAGCTTGACTTGTACAAATAGTTGGCACCAGTGAAAATGTTTTTTGTTTACCCAGATATTTTAGGTTTGTTAGGAGTTATTGGTTGTATCACTATTATATTTTGCTCTTTTTTGTATGTATTTGTTGTACGTAGTTTTTACACTTGTAGAAAGCCCTAACATCTCCAATACGCTCATATTTACTGTGTGTGTGTGTCTGTGTCTGTCTGTCTACATGCAAAGCATTATTGTTAGCATCTAGAATGTGTTTTAATTTCATTGTAGGCTGCTGCTTACAGTTGAGTGTGTGTGGTTTGGCAGTGCTGATAAATAGCTTCCTAATTGCCCTTGTTTTGCTTGATAAAGCTTGAAAGAAAATAAAGAATGAGAGGAAATCAGCAGCTAGACCCTGCTTCATAGGAACAAAATGTGAGGAAAAGAGATTCAACAGGAAGCAGAAAAAGTAGCTAAGACTGCAAAACAGAAAGCTTTTAATAAACATTGGATGTCTCTTTTGAGGATAATACTTACTTTCAAGTAAATATTGTAGAACAATGTTGACTTTAAGGAAGGGCTTGCTGCATTATGTTGTTCTATATTAAGCACTGCATGGAACCATTGTTTTAATGCTGCTTCCCCTGTAGCTAATTGCAGAAAAGAAGTACTTTAGGAGCACCAAAAGACTCTACTGCAGAATCCATTATTTTTCTTAGACTTTCTGAAAATCAGATAAAAAAAGCTTGTTACAGCAACAGAATGGGAAACTGGGATTCCTTAAATGCCTGCTGTAAGATGCTGAATGCTGAAAGATGCACAACTGTGATATAGTGTGTGTTGAATTCATCTCTCCAAAACTCCTTGGTTCCTATTAGGTACACACAGACACATACAGGTACTAATTTGTTCTCATATTCACAACATTCATTTTGGCTGTTTTGCAATAACTACTTTTCCTGTTTATCAGGAATTGTAGGTACATATAGTTTTAATAGCTGGGCTCCTCCTATAATTTCAAATCATCTTTGGCATCAGGCTGTGTTGGCATCAAGCAGAGATGTAAACAAGAAGCATTCATGATCCAGGAAATTCAGTAATAGGATTCTCATTTGAGCAGTCTTCCTGGTGATGCTTATATAACAGGCCTTTAGCAAGTAGGATTTAGCATTAATGTTGGCTGCATTGTAACAACTACAATATTACTTATTAAATAAGCTGGATCTGGATTCATGGGCCAATATTCTGATTAAGTTTACACGCTGTATTAAATTATGGTTTGCCAACCATGGTTTATTGAAACTATAACTGCTGTGTACACATAACACACTAAACCAAGCAACCACATTGTGGCTTAGCTTGTGTGAACAAGGTCACTAAGTAAACCTTCCCTTCCTTCTATCCCACTGCAGTCTTAAACATCATCCAAGAGCAGCAATGTTAAGGTAGTTTGCTTCTGGATATGATTCACAGTTTCCATTTTTTAAGCTCAATTCTACGTTTCTTTTTTCAGGATTTACTTTTACAGTTTTTAGTCCTGAGGTTCATACAATTGTTCATAGCTTAGGATCTTAACCTTTGGGCTATACTGTCATCTGATTCCATGTTGCACTAAGCTATGGTTTGCTTAACACATAATAATTTACAACACATTACAGCTAATTCACATAATACACTAAGCCCAAACCAAACATGCACAATAGCTTTATGCAACATATGAACCCACCCACCCGCATTATGATTTTCAAATCTTGAATAGTTTTTGCCAGTCTTGTCCAATATTTTGTCTTCTGAAGGTTGGCCTTGGTCTCTGATGGCCTTGATCTGTTAATATCAGTGTCACAAATGTGGACTGCTTTCTCCTGTCTTTCCAGCACACATTTTCTTCCTAATCGCATGCTACAATACTGTAGTCTTGTTCTGCTAGACATTTTACTGTTTTTAGTTGTATTGCTAAAGAAAACTTTCTTGGGCAATATGTGAACTTCCAGATGGAGTCCTCCCTCATGTTACCGGTCAAGAGGCACTGTGCAGTGGTTAATAGATCCTCTCTGGAAAATAAAATGATGAAAGAAGTGGTAGGAAAAGATGGGAGGATTACAAATGGAAAATGTCACTATCAGAACACATTATACATTCTGTGCATAAGGCATTATAATTGTATAATTTCTGGGGTGTGATGCCAGGGAGCACTAATGTCCCAGAGATATCTCCTTTGTTGCCCACTAGGTTCTTTGTCAAATTTCTTTTGATTTTTTCTTCTTTTTATAAACAATGTATATGATATGCCATCCTCCAGCATCTGTATTTCCAAGAATGTATCTCGATTCTAAATGGTTTACAAGCTTTCTTAGAGAGTAAAAATGGAGGATGACTGCTGTCCATTGCTTTGTTTGGAAGTGTGTCCATCTGCTTGAAAAAAAGAACAAAGGTAAGAGGATAGGAAGGAGTTTTCTGTAGGAAGAGAGGGCCAGGAAGGTAGCATTCTAGTAAATATGTTCTTTGCAACTCTTTGTGTCCCTCAGGGGCAACTGATTTGTGAACCGCCAAGCTGCTCAACAACAATTTTGTGATAACAGCCCAACATTTCCTCAATATTCTAATTTTACTCACATCGCCAAAAAATGGTGAGGATTCCCTGGTGTAATCAAAGCCATTTGGCCATTTGATGTGGTTGCTACTGTGCTACAGTTTCAGAGTACAGTCAAGATCCAATCTAAGTATTTTAAATTTTATTGGCCTTCAAAATTCTTTAGAAGTCTGGCTTACTGTGAAAACACAGGATTTGGGTAGATACTGTTTGATGGCTTCAGAACAGCTTCTCCTGCTACAGAGTAGCTAAGCAAATGAATGCAGCTCTAGCTTATAAAGATGGCATATGTTTGAGTGAATGAAGGCTAAATGTGCAAGGATGGCTAGAAGGTTGTGTACATTTACATATTGACAGGCTCACATATATGCTAGCTTGTTTATCTCTGAAGGCTTGACCTGACACCTATCATACTATCAGGCCTTCAGAGGTTCCCTACTCTTCTTTTTAAGTTACCATGTGTAAATCCTAACACATACCTTATGTATCTAGCTTATAATTCTGGCTTCTTAGGAGAAAAACAAATCTAAATCCTGACTCGTGTATAACATTAAACCAGGATGAGTAACATGGATTGTTTGTAAAATGGCTGTTAGACTTAATATCAGTCTGGGAATTAGCTCTCAAAATACTGCTTCCCAGGATGGCTCCTCCCGCTCTATACTGATGGCTTTGGGTTTTCCTACCAAAATATAGAACAGATAAATTTCAACAGAGACATCGATCTTGATGGTTTCTGTCTCTTATCTCAGTTCATCAAGGTCCTCCTGAGTCTTGATACTGGCCCTAGTGTTTGCTACTCCTCCATTCTTGTGTTATCCACAAATGTAATAATGTTTTCTAACCCCTCATCCAAGTCATTTATAAATATGTTGAATAGCACTTTTTGACGCTTGACACTTTTGTCCAGCTTGACACTGAATCCCTAACTCTGTTGTACGTTCTCTAAATTTTCTCTAGTTGTCTCTCATTTAGAAGGTAGTACATAGAAGGTAGAAGAATCTGTTCTGCATGTTCTTAAAAATTTATTGATGTTTTTTCCACACACACACCCCCATTTTTTTTTGTCCACAATAGGGATGCCCCTAGTTTACTTCACTTGTCAACCCTGGTGTTTTCCTAGATGCTCCTTCCTATCTATGTTTTGGAAACATTATTTTCCCCTTTTTCTCCATTCAGAGTAGAGATAGAGACCAAGCGGTTTTTTGCTATATATGTGAATGACTGCTTTTTTATTTTTTTCATGTTTATGTATATAAAACCAATATGTAAATCTTTCACGTATAATGCTTATCCAAATGAATTCTGTCACATTTCTTGCTTATGTGCTTATTTAGCTAACAATTCACCGCCATGTAGAACAGTACAGATCATGTCTTTAATTTGGTCAATGACTAGCAAATTTAAAAGAACAATGACAGAGTAAAACAAATTGATAGAATAATATACTAAAAGACAGATCACATAATACTATTACATTCACTCCTCTATAACCATATTAATACATTAATTACCCAAGTAAAAACTAAAAAAACTATGATTTTGAGTAAATATCCCCTAGCAACTTATTAAGAAATATTGATCCGAAAGTGATATTAAAAGTAAAAATTAAAATGACCCATCATATATAACTTTAAGGGGGACCTGGAGTAATAATTCCCAAACTAGAAGTACATAACTGGTCTGTTTGGCCACAATAAGTCAGAATTCTTAATATTATAACTCACCATGATATTTGAAGAAAGCCACTGATTTCTGTAGAAAAGAGCTATGTGGGTCTTTTCTCAAAGCAGTCAACAAGACTAGGAAGAGCTAGTGAAGGAAACACTGCTTCATTTGAAGAAACTCAGAAACGTCTTGACTTTGCCACTTTTATTGTACTTTGCGTGCTCATAGTAGCACAGGTCTCAACCAATATAAGATTTATCATCATCATCAATTTTTGCTCTTGTGATAATATGAAGTTGCACGGTCACATGGTTGTTCCAGGTAGTGCTGATGATGAGGAAGACTGTGTTGACGGAGATCTTGCCCTGCAGCAAGATCAGGCACAGCTGATATTGTACAAGCTTTCTCATGGGTTTTATGAGTAATAGACAGTAGAGAAAGGAAGGGAATCCTTAAAACTACATTGCTAACTCCAGGTAAGGTTTGACTGTAGGCTATTAACTGTGTTAATTGAATATGTTAACAGTGGGCTTCCTCATACAGAGGGAATAAACTGCCATATGATTCCTTGGAAGGCTGTTACATAACCTGATTGAAGTCTGTGAGAGGCACATTGCCTGTTTTAGTGATGGATTTAATGGATTTAGCTCAGGTCCAGTAATCAGTTCTTCTATTCTTCTTGGTTATGCTTTTATTTCATTATTATGCATTATGTGGGTTTTTAACTCTCACCTTAGTTCAAAACATTTCAGGATGGAACAGTTTCAGGGTTTTTTTTTTCTTCCCTTGAAGCTGAAATGGCCACACCCTTGGGAGTTAAAGCTAGAGTCTTTAGTTAGGCAAATGACTGCTTAAAATTTTTTACTCCTGAGCTGTTACCCATCAGGGTTGGCTGAATACCAACACTTAGGGTGACTCATTCCAGAAGGCCAATCCACCTTGGTATATTTGGCTGACTCATACATCCCCAAATGAGGAAGAAGGCTTCCATAAGGTAAATTCCATGTTCCCACTACTGTAGAAAGTACACTGCCTCAAACTGAAAGGGAAAATACCAGACTATTAATATTTTTGTCAAGCCTACCCAGTCAGAGATGCTGTATTGCTTCTCAGTTCCAAGGACTGAGCCTATATCCCCTGGGTTCCTGCACCCAAAGAGATCTATGATACTTGATCACTTATGGTCCTTGCTAGACAACTGGGCCTATTAGATGATACTAGCTGTGAGATGTAGCTCAAAATTTGTTGAAAAAGCAGATTTAGGAAAACATTGGAAAACATAAGTTCTCAGTTAAACTTTTTAAGCAGGTTTTCCTGTGGCTTCTTTTTCAACTAATTTTCCCTTATGTGAAGTTTCAAACGGATGTCTACCTAATGCCTGGAAATTAAGATAGGATGGGATTGTGCTTCATTCTTCATTTTAAAATGAATTCCATTAAACCAGGGATTAATATAAACCTCAATGTGGTCATTTGTTTTTCTCCAAAACATCAGTTGCTTCTCAGAAGCTATACATAGCTTCTATACTGGGCCACTTCTGACACTTATTACCTCCTTATGCAGAAACCTTTATTTTTTGTCAAGGCAGTTGGAAGGGGAAATGTTGGAAGACACGCCTTCCTCCTCTTTAAATTGTAGCTTGCTCAGTTCAGCAAACATCTGCAAGTTTTGCATAGTGCTTAGCAGCCTTTTGTCTGGACAGATTAGTCTACATCCATCACTGAGGACAGACTGAACAACACTGAGCCTCTGCTTTGAACTGACTGTTTTTAAATCCATCTTGTCCATTTAGAACTGTTTACATGTCTCTGATTATTCTATTTGTTTTTCTTCCAGAAGCTTCCAGGGAAATTTAAGAACTTGTTTCGTAAATTTGAGAACCTCACGGTAATTCATTCATAGTTCCTTTGTAAAAGAGATGGTGAAGAGTGGGGGCTAAAAGCATGCAGTACAAGCACAAGAGCGTCCAGTTCAAATATTGCTTCACCCTTGAATTCTCTCTTTTCTCCTAAATCAGATAGAAAAAAAAATCTAGATTTTAGGATTATGATAAAATAATTTGAAGAACAGCAGGCTTACTATTTCTCATCTCTTTCACTTCCAGCAATAAGGATAAATCTTTTGGTCTTTGATGAGCTCAGTTTAGGTGTTGAAAACCCTCTCATTCTAATGTTTTCTGGTAGACATTTACTTGTCTCTTTTCTTAATACAGTGGTTAATAAATAGTGTTCCAGGGAGTCTCTGTGCCTCCTTGGAAGCTTACTGAGGATCTTCTAGAAACAAGTGGTCATGGTGGACATTTTGCCTGAAAAATAGACGCATGATTTCTAATCTCAGCCACTAAGCTGTGGCAGAATTTTTGATATTTGTAGATCTTGCTGTCAATGCAAGTACCTAGCATGAAATAAGAATAGACCAATAATGTTGCCTGGAATCTCTTTTAAGATGTTGATAGAAAGTTTTGAAAAACTACTGCCATAATGAACTGTCTGACATGGAGATGGATTTTCATCCTGAAGGTCCACATTTTTAAAAAAAGAGATTTTCCCTTCCTTTTTCCTTGTTTCCTCTCTGGCTCTTTCAAAGTAACTTTAAGTCTGCATAGTCCAAATAGTCTATCTGATGATTGGAATGATTTTGAGCCCTCTAGCCTCATCAAGGATTCATATTTAACACATTCAATTGGATATCTTCATGTCTTTGAGCTCTGTAGTTTCCACTTAAGGCAGGGTTGGGAGGAATGGCTGCAGTTGATTCTGTCTCCGCTTTTATCTCAGAAAATAATGAGGTTCTTTTCTCTCTCTCTTTTGTATTTCAGGACCCCTGTAGGAATCATAAAAGCTACAGAGAAGTCCTGACTAGGATGAAGCCACCCATTATCCCCTTTGTGCCCCTCATCCTAAAAGGTTAGTGATACTTGATGGGTCCAGAGTTCTTAGTTTTCCTGAACTGGATTGTGTAGAAAACTGTCTTGGGACTCTTCTGCAGGACCCACTAACTGGGTTATATTGAGAGGGCTTGAATGGATGATGTCACCCTCAGCTTGTCCCTCTCCCAGCATAGAAGCAGTTTACCATTGTGCTTTCCTGCTCTACTTCTTAAAAAAGTAGCGTTTTTCAGTTTGTCCTGGCACAAGTCTGGCTGTGTGGTTTCCCTACTACTCTTTAATCCAGTTTAGGCAACATCTGCTCCTCTTGATTGTTGTATGGAGCTCCTGGCATGCCCCCTCCTGTTTGATCACTAGGTGTTACCCTGCATGGCCATTTTCAGGATCTCTTCATCTGTGGAGAGGAGCATGCTCATGCAAAACCTACACTGCTCTGTGCTTGAGAAGGCCCCAGTTCCTATTCACCTATGCAACTGGTGTACAGCAGTTAGGGCAAGCAGCAGCTGGTCAGAGAGAGCCAGTCGCCTGGATTTCTCCCTGCCCCTCCTTCCCACTGGGAGAAGAGTGAAATGTTGGACTTTTTTTTTAACCAATTGAAATAGACAAGAATTTTGCCCATTAAGAATGGTGGTGCTCCTTCTTTTTGTTCCTGTCCACCAGTGGGCATACTGGACAGGAAGGTGTCAAGCATGAAGAGGAGCTCAAACAAGAGGCCTATGAATAGAAACCACATGTCCTGAAAGACACATGAACCCACAGAAAGAACATTGATTGGTGCTCATGTTCCTGGCAGGAGTGGATGGGGTAAAGAAACAAGGGAATCCAGCAATTGTGGACTATGATAACCACCATCCAGACAGAACACCTGGCCAACTTCGTTGCCAATTTAAGATTGGATTGAAATCTGGACTACAGCTTCTTAGGGTCCACCTAGTTTCAGCATGGGAGAGAAGCAGCTTAAGTCTGCCATGAAAAACAGTCCTCAGCCAACCTAGTCCTAGGCTTAATTTTGAAGAAGGGACATTTGGAACAATAACAATAAATGGTCTAAAAAGCCCATTCTCAATAGTCTGCCATTACAGACTTTCCCAAGCTGATGGATTACAACTCCCATAATATTTAGCCAGGACGATCTTTGCTGTGGTGACTAAGAAATTATGGAGTTTAAAGTGAACTCATCTAGAGAGTAGTCAGTTACTCCAGAATGTTCAAGAATCAGAATCTATGCAGAGAAAGGGTTGGCGCTGTTTCAGTTTTCAACTAAGCTATTACTTTTGTTCTATATATATGAATATTTTCAAATCACTCATGAGAAAATCTATTTGAGATAGTGTTTTAAAGACAAAATCAGTCTTCCAACTCTGATACACAGGCTCCTAGTCTTCCTTGAACCTGATCTTGTGTGAATCCACTTTTATGTGTGCATAACAAGTTTCACATTCTTCACAACCAGCACTACCTAGATCCTTCTGATATGTTTTCCTTATACATGTATATAATTTCATCAGAATAACAGACATTTTGCTACTAGCAGAATTAATAAATAAAAGTGCCTTTGAGCATAAATAGAGGGTTTTCTTCTAACTTACTACATTCTATTCCCATTGCTGTAGAGAAGGATTTCCAGGCCAGAGTATGAGATTACTAGCCATATCTTTTTAAAAGTTAGAAATGAATTGTTGCTTTGCATCCTTTCTCAACTCACTTTTCCTCTTTTTCCCTCTTCCTTTCTCAGACTTGACATTTTTGCATGAAGCTAGCAAAACCTTGGTGGATGGATTGGTCAATGTAGAGAAATTGGTAAGAATATAATTCACATCACTCCCAGTTTTCTGTGCTGTGTACATCTGTACTTCATAGCGTCTTTACTTTCCCAATTTGCAGAAGGGGAGTAATTATTCAATAGAAAGGGGATAAGCCGTCTAGTCCAGCTCCTCTCAGGGGGTCCTTAGAACGAAAATTAGTGAACCTGAATGAGGAAGCACAGTTTTAAACCATCAGAAAAACTGTAAAATGATTCAATGTAAAATTCAGATGGTTGCAAAGTTGGGTGAAAACATGCAGGAGACATTTGCTTCTTAAAGTGGGCCAAATATCTGATAGCAACTCCAGATAATTTGCCACTTCTGGGAATAGAAAAACTGTATGCAGTCAAAGGCAAAAGAAGATGGAGTATGATTTGGCACTCTCTCTCTCTGAATCATTTGCCTCCATGATAAACATGAAGAAAGCAATTGGCAACATAATTGTTTCTGTTTGCTGCCACTTTTGCGCTGGCTTTCTTCCATCACAACTACAGTATTACCACCACTGGCAGGTACACTGATTCCTAATTCTGTGGGACCTGTTTATGCACTGAGCTAGGATGAAGTAGCAGGTAAGACAAAAATAAAAATCTTATCATGTAAGTGCCTTTTTTTGAGCCCAGTCTATAAAGATTCTGAAGGAGAAGGCTAGGTTTTTCTTACCTGCCAACGCTGCTGGGAAATTTCTAATTCTTGATTTATAAGCCTTGGAATCATTTAAACAGGGACATTTCTTTCCCCTATTTCATTTGAAGAACCATGGAATAAAATTCCTTCAAATTAAAACCTGTTTATACTTTTTACTGGGGCAAGATCATCTCACTTATTTTAGCATCCTGTACAGAAAAATGAGAAACACTTCATGTTTGCAACCTGACTTATACTGAGTCAGATCATTGGTCTGTTTAGACTGGCATCATCAACATGACTGTCAGTGATTTTTCAGCTGTAGATAAGTGTTTTTTTGGGTCCTGTCTGAGACTTGTACCCAAGATATTTTGCATGCAAAACAAATGCTTTGTCTCTAAGCTGTGTTCCTTCCAAGAGCTCACATTCAAAACTGTGATGTGTTTGCAACTTCGTTATTGCACCAGGTATCGCTTGTGTGATTTCTCTCCTTCACAGATACAAACACACACTGTTATATATATAGCTGAAAAAAAATCCTTGGTGCTGCTGTAGATTATACTCATTTATTCTGAGTAGCCTCTTTGCGCTGTTTTAAAAGCAAAGAAGCTTTTTGTTCATTTGCTTTGAGATATAATTAAAATTATAAACTTACAATTTTGAACAATTCAGAAGGAGCATTTCTGGCCATAGCACGTGACATGGCAAAAAGTGCCCAAGGTGGTGACTTAGCATCCATGCCTATGCATTTATGTGTATGTATCCTATGCCCCTTTTCCTCCAGGACAAGAATCCTGGGTTTCAGCTTTTGCATTCGCAGAAAGGAGGTTGAGCTGTGCACAGATGGCCTCTTGAATTAGCTCCATTCAGGCACTTTTCAACATGAAACACTTACCATGTGAGCGTGCTGGTTGAATCCTATCCCCTGCTGACATCTCTCAAATGACATCAGCTTCCTATAACCATTGCCTGTTCCCTGCAGCTGCGGGGAGAAAGCCTATATGCAGGGGATAGTCTATAATGCAGATTTTTCAGTGACATGGAAACTCACATGTGTATAGCGGTACATGTATATGCTTTCTCCCTGCAGACTGTTGTGCTGAATGTACAATACCTGCAAGAAGGTATTGCTTTGAGTGTTCTGGGTGTAATAATGCCTGAGCAGGGAAATTTTCTGCCGTAACCATCAGTAGAAATAATGGATTTATATTTATTTTACCAAAACTTTCCAACAGTTTCTTGGTGGAAGACAAAGGTCATAATTTGAAATGGCAAATGCTCTACTTTCCCCATCGCTAAAATTACATATGACAGCGGCAGCTGTAAACAGGAATTGTACTGATCATTCGTCTACTATTTTTTAATCCATCATAATGTTGAAGACCTTATGCTATTCCAGGGCAGAAGTATATGTGTCTATGTGGAGGGAGAAATGGTGGGTAGGAGGAAAACTGTGGAGCATATGTGGAAGAAACAGCTTTATTTTTCTAAAAAGATGGGGTAGTAGGGAGAAGAAACACGTCTCTTGAGAAAGGTCAGTTTACAACTCTAATTGGAATTTCGAGATTGGAATACCAGCATCTCACACTTAAGAACACTGTTCAATAATGTCCCTGAAATTTCTGCCAATTGCAAAATAGAGGGAAGAAACAAAGCAGTGGGCTTCTGGGAAGAAATGTGACAAAGTAGTAATTGTCTGGGTATGTGTTCTCTGTGTCAGGATGCCCAAGGTCAATAGCTTGACCTGGAGTTGAAATGCCTTGGGCAGAAGACTTTGCTCTATCGATTGGCCCAGGGCAGGAGGCTGGGCCCTTGGTATTTATACCAGGCCACGCTGGTCAGATTTACAGATTGCTGGGTCAGTGTTGCAACCCCTTCCCCATAGCATTCGATGTCCAAAATGACCTCTGAAGGTTTGGGGCTGTTTTTCAAAATATTTTAAGGATGTGCAGAGAAAATGGGGGTCCATCAGAGATGACTGAGTTTTAGGAAGGAAGAGGGGTTAGCCCACTCCCTGTGCAGTTTACCCAGAGAAAATCTCCCCCTCCTACATATCGATCACTCTTCCTCCCTCCCCACCCCCACTCCAAAGGCCTGCAGGTTTATTGTTCAACCGCACAGCAAGCCCAGAAGCCTTTTCTCTACTGCAGAGGTCTAAGGAGAAACTGCTGCTGGAGGCTAGAGCTGTTCTAATTTTCTGCCTCAGAGCCCATCTTTTTCTGCCTTCCCTTTCCTGCTAATGCTGCTCACCCGGCTGGGCTGTGAAAAGTGGCAAGGAACATTCAGTGTTATTTTTGTCCCTGCTGGGGAGGAGTAGGAATGGTTGACTTTAGCCTCCAGCATGGCTGAGCAAATGCGGTCTGACAGTGGGAGGGTGGGAGAGCTCAGGTGGTCTCACCCCCCTTCCCTCCCGCATCATCCCCATGCCCTGGGGAGATTATCTAGGGGTGAGTCCTCTGTGCAGGGCCTAGCCCAGTGGGACAGTGGAGTTACCATGGCAACGGTTTCGCAGAAGCTCCTCCAGCTCTCCTTGTTAAAAGACAAATGGGTATGTGAGAGAGATGCGTGCTGGAGTTGGCCCAGATTTTCTAGTCTCAGGGGAAGAGGAGGTGGAGATGGTGGTGGGAGGAATGAAGCTACGTCTTGGTCAGTGAAGCCCTCGTTTTTCCTATGGCCTCACCTCTTCCTCCTGCCTAAATATGCATTGTGTGAAATGCAGAATTATTTGTAGGCTGAGCATTCATCTCTTCCAATTATTAAAAAAAAAGTTCTGTAATTATTCATATAATGTTTTTCCAACAAGCATGTTTATCGAAAACTACTTGCTTAGCAGAATATGGTGCTGTCACCTTTTTCTTTGAAGTTGCTTTTGGGTGTTTTTAACAGAATGTATCATGGATGGCGTTTCAGGAATTTTTGTTGCAGGAGAAAGAGGAACAGGGCCATGTTATTACAACTGTTTGAGAAAAATGATCTTGGCCGTTCTGGAAAAACTAAACAGGGTGTTAGTACTCAAGAGACCCTACGGCTTGGGCTAAACTGGGAAATCGAAAAAACATCTTGGAAGAAAGCAGTGGCAAACTACTACCATTTACTGTTGCTAAAAATAAAACACCTCCAATGTGGATGGGGCTGTGAAATCACCAGGAATTGTGCTTGGAGGAAAATTTTACCTTTGTATAGGATTCATAGGCTTCTATGAAATAGAGGAACAAGTGAGAACTATGAAAAATGAGTGAGTTATGCAAAGAAGCGGAGCTCCTTTGAAGCACTGTGAGAAGCTTACCAATAGGTTGAACAATATAAGTAGAAACCTGCTTTTTGAAAATAATAAACTGCGGACTTTTAGGAGTTCAAAATATGTGCTAAAAAGTTCCTGTCTAGCTAAAAGTTAAAGTCTCTTTTTTCCAAAACAGTCACTTTGAGATCTGCAGGAGAGTGTCCTGAGTGGTTGAAAAGAGACTTTTACAGCACAATTGAGTGAGAGATTGCTGAAGTCACATACATCAAAAGGTTTCAATCTATCTCAAAATCTCGTCAAACACACATTACAATGATTAATTGATAATCTGCCTCATATGTAATCCAGTCTGTCTTCCCCTCCCTTCCCCACCCCCTCACCCCAATTTAAATCCTACATCAGTCTAGCTGCTCTGTGCATCTGATGAAGTGAGGTGCAGCTCACAAAAGCTTATGCCTTTTAATAACATTTGTTAGTTGTTAAAGGTTTTACCACACTCCTAATATAGATTCATAATCTTTCACTTCTGAGGATCACAACAAAACTACCATCTTCAGTATGTGTTAGGGTCTATAATATGAAAATGCTGTCAGGTAATTTGTCTGAAAGGAAAGTTGCCTTTTACCAACAAAGAAGAGTAAAATGTTAATTTCCATTACAGCCATGAGTACTACAGTAATAGAAAGAACTTTAAAAGCAGCATTCCAAGGTGATTCCTGCTGCAGCAGATCAGCAGTAATTTTTAATAGAAGTCTTTTCCTTATATGTACATTTGCATAACTTTTGTATGTTAATCAGCTGATTAAAACATACAGTTGACAAAAGATTTCTTTAACAAAGTAACAACACTAGTCCTGCACACCCTTGCTTGGTTATGGTTCTTAACAAAATCTTGGGAGCATTTCTAGTAGTCCTGAAAATCATAATGATTTAATCTGATGACAAAGTCAGCTGTATATTAAACAAGCAGCAGATAAGATGATAGATGTTCAGGAGTCAGTAGGATTGCTCTGATTATGTTGGTAGAAGATTCCCTCTGCTGGTGAAAAATTGCATCCCATTCAGGATGCCTCCGTGGGCGAGGGAAAACTTGTGTATTATGGACTTGTCTCACTATTGCCCTGTTTTGCTTTACTGTACTATTCATAAATTTGTCAATATGGCATTACAAAGATCAGTATGTTTTAATAGGTGAATGTACTTTTGAATTATATACCCAAGCCTTGGATCTTACCTCTGTATGAAAAATTATGGGTTTATTTATTTATATTTCAAATTTCTGGGCAGCTTAACATATAAAAACAGTAACAAAAATCGAAATAAAACCCCAAGAATAGCAACTTCTGGAGGGAATAGCAACCCATTTTGTCTCCCAATAACAGAGATAACCCACTCCCCCCCACATAAACCTAATCCAAGGCTTGGAAAGGAGCTGTGTTTTTAATGCTTTTTCAAAGGCCATAGGGTAGGGCCCATGCAAATTGCTGCTCCGGACAGCTAGTCCTGCAACAAAGAAGGCCTGCCTCCTGGTCCTGTTAGATGACATTGCTTGATTGATGGGACCAGGAGTAAGCTAACTCTGTCAGAATCTGCAGGGCAGGCAGAAGATGTAGGAAACAAATAACTCGGCCCTGTGCCATCTAGAGCTCTAAAGGTGACAACCAGCACCTTAAATTTCACCCAGAAGCCAAGGGGTAACCAGTGCAGTTCAAAGAGCATGAGTGTTGCATGGGCATATCATGGCTGAGCAGCCACTGCTCATGCCTCTGTTTTCTGTATCAGCTGTAGCTTGTGAATGGCTTTCAAGGGCAGCCCCACATACCATGCACTGCAAAGTCCATTGCGAGGTTACCAAGCCTTGAATGACCAAAAGAAAGTTCTCCTATCCAAAAAAGGATGTAACTGGCCCACACAATGAACCTATGGGAAGGCCCTCCTGGCCAGAGCTGCCACCTGTTCTTCAAGCAGGAACCTTAAGTCCAGGAGGACCCTGAGATTATGCAGTAGTCCTAAATAAGGTAGTGGGCTCAAGTTCAAGGCCATAGGTGGAAAATCCTCAGCACCCATTGCTACTCAGTCTTGATAGGGTTGAGTCTGAGCTTGTTTTTCCCCATCCAAACCCTCACAGCCCTCAGGTACTGGGACATGATTTCAACAGCATTACTTGGCCAACCCAGGGAGGAGATGTATAACCGAGTGTCATCAGCATACTGATAATATCTGACCCAAAGTGGCAGATGACCTGACCCAGTAGCCTCATTTAGATGTTAAATATGAGGAGTAAGAATGCTGAGCCCTAAGGCATCCCATAGATCATAGGCATTGGGCTTGACTGTTTTCCTCTTACCAATATGAACTGAAACTGGCCATGGAGAAAGGAGGAGAATCACCATAACGCTATGCTTCCCACTCTCTGCAGTTATTCCAGAAGGATACCATGATCAGTGTTATTGAAAGCTGTTGAGAGATCAGGAAGAACCAGGATGGTTGTACCTCCCCAACTCAGCTCCACTACAGATCATTCACAGGCATGATCAATGTTAAACCCTGGCCCAAAACCTCACTGAAAAGGGTCTAGATAATTTGTTTTCTTCAGGGCCTTTGGGACCCAACCACCTTTTCAATCCAACTACCTCCTGGACCCAACCACCTTCTTCAAAAAAAGGTTTATCAAACATGCGAGGGGGAGGCAATAACAACAACAACAAAAAACCTCTATGAAGTTGGAAAGGCAGTGCAACTCCAGACTTAACAATCTTGGATCACCCACATGTATTTACTGTCTGCTTATGAACTAGCTTTTTATTAATGTGATGTGATCAATATTCTTTTATATGATTAAAGTTTAGTGATGTGCTGTTTTCCCCTTTCTATTCTCTTCTGCAGCATTCAGTAGCAGAAAAAGTACGGACTATCAGGAAATGCCGAAGTCGACCTCTCTGTAAGTATTAATATCTCAAGTGGGGCTCCAAAGGAAAACAAATACTTCCATGGCTATTTTTTTACATGTGGTTTTAGTATCAATAGCTATGAGACATTTAGCAGAACATAGAAGAAACATAATGTCTGAATAAATAATCTAGAATTTTAAACTGGTCCATATACTGTAGCAAGTTATGATCTGCTAAGCTGTGTTTAAATAATTAGCTGAACTTCCACATGTTAAGTCCTACTGTGGTTTTTTGTAGTATGATGTATGCACCCAGGCATTAGTTTAATTCATCTGCCACTCTAGGTCATAGTAAATAAGTGGCATCACCAGCAAGCCTGCTCATGCTTGCCGCCACCTCCTCTGAGTAACATAACTGCAAAACCATGATTGGTAGATTGTTTAAGGATGAAGTGTGGCATATGACTGCTATGTCTTGCTCAGAATTTAGGATTATATGTGAACCATGGCATACAACTAGTGTTACAACCTAGGAGAGCAGATGATTTAAAACCTCCCTTCTTCCAAAGTTTCCACCATAAAAGACATTTATAATACTTTATCCCAAGCCACTAGTTAGGCTGAACTTCCTGACCCATCATAGTTTGCCTAAGGGAGGTCTGAACCCTTCCACCAAAAACTTTTCCCTTCAGCCCAGCCATATGGAAAATAAGCTGCTTTGGCTCATCCTGTCTAAAGCCCAGAAAAACAAAACTTAATAAATATTTTACCAGTCTTGGAACATAGGAGACAATTGTAATATTATGCAGTCTTGTGCGTGGAAAACCTTGTAATGAGAAATTCTCTTATTAAACCAGGGAAGCAATTCTCTAGATACAAAAATGAGTTTACTAGTAAAGGGAAATACAGGAAAGAAAAAGAGAAGGCAACAATTACACAAACAGAATTCCAAACAAAATCAATAGCCAGTCTAGCTAAACTAGTTAATTATTACCACCTTGAATAAACTCTTGAGTGTTAGTACCTGTTCAGAGTTTCTTGCAAAGCGTGTAGATGGAAAGAGATGATCTGGCTCACTGCTTGGATAACAGTACTCTTGGATACCATGTACTCCTCCTCTTCCTGCTCCTTTCCCTTTTTTTCTTCTTGAGCATTATCCTTAGAATGTAGAGAAATAAAAACCAGCCTCTTTTGGTAGGGTTCCAATATCCAGGCTACAAATTTGGATGACCACTGGATGTCTCAAAGAATCTGAAAGTTGATACCTATCTACTGTCATTCAGTGGTTATCTGGATTTTTGCAATCCAGATATGGTAGTGCTTTCTTTGGGACTCCTTTGCTAAATCAAGACAAATACTCCATCTCTTACGTTCTGGATCTATCCTGCAAATCAGGTCAAACCCACCTTCCTAACAACCTTTGATGAAATGATAAGCACAGTCTAATTTTCACCCATTGTGCAACTGGAACAATAGGATTATAGAGAGAGGGTCTTTGGGAAATAAAAGCTGAATTCAGTCAGTTAAATACTCCATATGAGTCAGTTTATCAGATGCTTTAGGAGACAGTATTGTGCTATACCCAAACCTAGGGCGTTGTCACAGCTGGACTCATACAGCACAAGATGCCATGATTTGCTTAGCTATAGTTTACACAGCAAGTTCCAGTTGACTGGGTTCATATATTACAGTAAGCCATAAATTATAATTTATGAATCACAGTTGATGGGTTCAAACACTAAGCCAAAACAAGCAACCACATTATAGTTGAACATATTGTGTGAACCTAGCCTATGGCTTGTACAACAAACCATTATTAAACAAGCCATGATTTATCATAAAATGTAAACTCTAGTATGTGTAATGTCAACTTTTCCAAAATGATATTTTCCTTCCTTTTTTCCACAGGTTTGGAGATGGAGTCATCTCCTCAGCAGCTACAGACAAAGGCTTATGTCCGTCAATTCCAAGTTATTGACAATCAGAATTTGCTCTTTGAACTCTCTCACAAGCTGGAATCAAACAGCCAGTGAAGTCCCTGCCCATAGGCAGGCGTTGCTAAAAAAAGAATGTTTACTCTGTGTGATACTTGAGCACTTTTTGGATGTACAGGGGACCCACCTAGGCTTTGCCTTAGTTGGAGAGGCAAGTATGGAGTCACCAGGTGACAAGGATGAAGAGTCTTTGTCATGGCTGGCCCACAACACTTTGGTAGAAAATTGAAATGGCAGCTTGTAATCCTACCCATTAGAATGAGACCCAATCTGCTGGGAAGCTTTCCTGCTAGAGTCATCCCAGAAGTTTTGATGTCAGGGGTGAAAAACCCAAATAGCACCCTTTTTTAGCTGCTTCACAATACAGTGGAGCAATATAATTTTGTCTTAGCCTCTTGTTCAAACCTCATGTCAGTGAATAGTAATTAATATGCAGGAAAATTTCCCAAAAGATTGCAGTCCATTGGTCAATCTATCAGTTTTCTACTATGCTGCCTTTATTGTCAGTCAAAATACTGTATTATCAACTGAGGTGGCCATCTTATTTTGCCTCATGGGAAAGCTCCATATGACCTCCTTTTTACAGGATACTTAGAGAACAGACAATAACATGCCCAGAAGACATGGAACAGCTTTGTGGAGATCACACTCAACAGGATTTCTTGACTGAAGTTTGCACTGGAGATTGGAGACCTATTCATCAAGTTTACATCTCCTTCATGAGTAAATGTAACAAATCCTTGAAAAATATAAATATTTGAATTAGATTAATAATCTTGCAATCTCATGAATTGGAAAAAGTGCAGTTGCCAGAGGCAGCATGTGCATAAATGTCAAGAAGCATTTATTTTTTTATCTTTTAATATCTTATTAAAATATTTCTATAGTGTTAATGTACATTTATATTTCCTTCTTTAAAACGTCTGTTGTGGAAGCATTTAAGGATTATCAGGAGATTCTCAGTCCTCCAGGGTTGATTTCCCCAGACTGTTAATCATAATCATACATGTCAAAATCTAATTGTAACTGAGATGGGAAAATCTTCTTGTTAACATCCAGCCACAATAGACATATTTCTATTCTCTGGGATTTAAAACAATAGGAATTTTAAAATTTAAAACACATACCAAAATTATATCTGTTGTACTTCTTTAGTGGAATATGTCTACTCAACAGATTTTAATTAACCTGAACCATTCTAGCTCTGCTGAGAATCACTATTCTGTGATGAAGCTCAACTTGATTCTCAGTACACCAACTAAACTCATCCCAACATTTTTCAAAAAGCCATGAAAGCTACAATCCATGATTCTGGATGCTATCTAAGCATTGTATACATCTAAAGGAATTAAATACATCTGTAGTTGAACATTTAGAAGAAGAACAAAGCAATTTATCTCTTCCTCTTCGAGTGGTTCTGACCGTGGGATATTGACTTCATCAAGGCTACCACATCTGGTTTGCAAAAACTTGGGTGAGCACTAAATAGTAGCAAGATATGACTCTTTTTTGCCACCTAGTGGCGATTTGAAGTTCTGCAGGTCAGATATGGTAGCTGTAGCTTCAGCAACTGTGAAGAGCCAGGATGGGATATTACTATTTCATCTCAGAATAGGATGTTGAGGTTTTCCTTTTCTTTCATGAGACAATTTGTAGGAGCACTAGAAATGTTTAATTACTCCTTGCTATGCACACAATTTTAATGGTTAGGCAGATAAAACAATGTTTGCCTGCACTCCTGTGAAACATGTATAGTGCAGAGATGGAGAATGCCTGGTCTACTGGACCTTCCCATGACCTGTGGCCTCCTCTGCCTCACCCCACCCCAAGCAATTAGGCTTGTCTAAAAGGTTTTATTGATTTCACTGTAAGCCTTTTTAAAGCCTAATTGTTGTGCAAAGGAGTTGATTCCTGAAGGGAAGGGAATGCAGTTGGGAAGGGAAAGATTTGATATGATGATCTAAATCTAACTATGGATTAAACTGCAATAAATTGTCAAGATTAATGTAGGATTAGGCAATATTTCTGCCTGTATTTATTGAAACAACATATTGCAAGGGGAGTGGTTTTCTACTGCCCCTTGTCTGCCTTTCCCATACTGTATGAACAAAAAGTGGACTTAAAGTGTACTAAAATATTGTTAGTGTCTGCTATCAAATTATCATGAAAATATATCCTTGTTCAGGGACACTTGTGTGTGTGGAGGTCAAAACAGTCAAGTTGGTGGTTATGACATGATCAAAGGCCCAACCCTTTTTTATGTGACATGACACATATAAAAGGATGGGGGTTCAATTGCATGGTCACAGTCAAAAGCACTCAATTCAATTATACTGACAATTAGCAGAACAGAACTAGGAAGATAGTATTTATTCTGGACTAATTAATCTGCAATAAAAATAAGAATGCGGAGACCTGTTTATTCTAAGAGATGCCAAATTCCTGCAAACAGCTTTAGGCTCGCTTTCTATTGAGAAGTCTAACAAGTTGTTTTACGGGATTGACAAAATATAAGAACTCTTGATATTGATCAAATCTATAATTCTTGCATGATAAATCTGTGCCTCTGGTTTGGTTTCTAGAATCTGGGTATCCAGTACTGGAATCTATTCCATTCTGAAAGTGTGAATTAACAACAGGAATACTTTTCTGCATGCCCAGAGTGCAATTCCCACACTATTGAGTAAGCTACATCCCATTTCTGCACAGGAGACAGTTTTATGCTTAGAAGGGAATACTTGAACCTCAGTACATTTCTTTTTAAAACTGTGTACTGTATTTCTCCCTGTCACATTTCTAACACATTTAATGCTTGCTCATTATTTTGATAGCTATCAAGGAACTAGACGCTGGAAATAATCCTCTGTTACTTTTAAAATTGTTTTTCTGCTTTGCTGACTTCCTCTTTGATAAAGGTCGGTGTGTGTGTGTGGTGTGTAAGGGATAAGGGTTGCCTCTAGTGGCTTTTTGTTCAGGGATTTTTCATTTCAGGATCTCTCGGTCTTGTTTCTTTTTCTCTCTCCTGGTGAGAGCTTCAGGTCCGTGTGTGTGTGTGTGTGTGTGTGTATAATGTATATATCTATATATAGGTTGTATATATATATTTTAACAAGGCATTCTTGAATTGTACATGCATTTTTTAAAAAAGAATTGTATCAGACCATTGTACAGTGATTTTTCTACTGTTGGGAATGAGGGACAGCTCACCTACATACAGTCCTAAAAGCTTCTGTAAACTGGAATATAAGATGCATTGCATCATTCCAAGAAAGTGCAGTTTATTTTTGGTCTGGTTGCTATTATTATTATTATTATTATTATTATTATTATTATTATTATTATTATTATTATTTTGCTACAGAAACATTGGGCAAGAAAACAAATGGTGGAAATAAAAACATTGTGAAAAATACTGGATTTTATATTGATCTTTTCATACCTATATCTCATGGAGCAAAGCCTTCACAGAGGATTAAAACATTTTATTTTTCTAGTAAGGCTATGTACGCACTTGAGAAGATCCAGCAGCAGAAATTTCTTCTACTGGTTAAAAGCAGAACAGCATCTCACAAACCTTTGATAGCTATAGCATAATTCTTTTTGCTTTATTTTATTCAATTTATAACCCGCTTTATCAGAGGACTGCAGGTAACATAAAGAAAAAATGCTCATAAAATACATAATACAAAACCAACCACAAGGAAACCATTTAAACCAGAATGCGACATTAGGAAATACAAAACATACAAAATATATTAAAATATCATGTTACAAAGCAGTTTTACAAACCACCTGGCCAAGAGACTCCCAGAAGAGCCAAGTTTTTAATACTTTCCTAAAAGCAAAGTCAAGGATATGGCACAGAGGGAATGCTGTTCCAGATGGCTGGACTACTGGCAGAGACGACACACCTCTCAAGTCCAGTGACACCATTTAGTAGATGGGACCTGGACTGTGCCAACCTTGCCAGTTCTTATAGGGCAGGATCAAGTTTTTGGACAGAGGTAGCCCCCTAAATAACCAGGTCCTGAACTGTGAAAAGCACCTTGATTTACACAAACATGCATACATTCATATTTTCTGTGTATGCGGGTATCCCATCATGATACGTTCAATCCAGACTGATCATACTCATGTTTAGCATACTGTAGATGCATCAAAGCAACTGCTGAAATATAATGTGTCAGGAGGATGGGAAGAGCCCTAGTGGGGGAGCAAATCCAAAACAATGAGGCAGGCCTTTTTCTTGTAACTATAAAGGCCTTCATGGCTAATGTTTTACAGATGCAAGCAGACACGGGCTTGTGGCACTTCTAATTCTCATACCAAGACTCTTCTGTAGGCTTCATTAAAGACGTGGTTTTGTCACCAGGCCTGGGGGTCAGGAGGTGGGGCTGAGCCCATACACTGATTGTGTTAACTTGTGACTTGATGGGTCTGTTTTTACCACACCTTTTGTTTTTCTGTTTTTTATGCTTTTATATTTTAACACTTTAACACCTGTTCAAGATAAGAGTTGCATGTTGTGCGAGATTGCACATTCCATGCATGTTAGCATTTATAAATACAGTACACAATTGAAGCAAGATTCATTGCATACAGTAACTATAAATTGTGACTTATTTTTAGAATGGTAGATACAGGCCACCAACATTAAAGCTCTCAGAGCAGAGAGATACAGATGTTACATTAAGTCCTGGTTTTTCATGACTTCCACAAACACACCACTTGGGGTGGGAGGAGAATTTCTCTATTTTTACACAATGGCAAGACAAAACCAGTCAGAACTGCCTCCTGGTGGTTAAAATAAGTAAACTGTGATTTAGAGAGTCATAACATTTCCTAAAATTGTATTCAGTTCCTGGTCAGATAAGAATTGGTTCAAAAGATTCCCTGAAGATTGCATGCCCACACTTTTTTCATTTCAGTTTTTGGAGGCAATGCACTCAATTAATTAACCTTATTTAAAAACTAGCTTTCAGAAATCCTTAAGAGGCAGCAGAATAAGACTCGGTAATTTTATGAAGGTAAGATTGATAGTGTAGCTTCTGTGCAATTGCTTTAGGAGGGTATAGCGGGCAATCAAATCTTTTCTCTTGTAAAAAAAAAAAAATCATCCTGCAAATTGTGACCACACGGACCCACTAACAAACACACTACTCCTCAAACCCAAGGAATTCTAGTACCTATAGAAGTTTAATAAAATGCAAAAAGCAGCCTTGTTGAACAATGAAAAAAAAACAAATCCAAGCAGCCACTCTGCCTTTTTTCTGAATTCTTAACTACCTTACCCAAGGATTCAAAAGTCCGCATCCTATTTTGAGAACTTGCAGCTAGCTTAATAAAATTTTTGCCTTAATATGAGTAAGAATTAACTATTTCATATATTCTAGGTTTCTCTTTAAGGATACTGTTTACAGTTAGAAGAGGAAAAGTGCCAGGAAGTGGATGGAGCAGAAGGTATTTCAGTGACTTGAATGCTAGCTTGAGGGGTGGCAGCAGTTGATGGAAGAAGCAATTTAGGTAGAATTTTTCTTTGCTGCAGTTTAAAACTTGTTTCAAACTTCTTAAAGCTGAAAGTGAATATACCAAATGGACAGTAGAATAGTCACTGTAATTTAATTTTATTATTTCTGTACCACACATCCTTCCAGAGGAGCTCAGAACAGTGTGCAGAAAAATTAAATAAAACCATCAACAACACACATCAAACAAAAGCTTTTAAAACATTTTAACAGCTCTTGCTTGAAACATCAGATAGTACACAGTACAGTAGTTCTACGAGCTGCTAGTATGACTTTGGACTAAACTACAGGGTGTTGAAAAAGCAAGCCCCGCCTTACATAATTAATTGACTTAGGGAAATAAATAGGGCTCCTATATGCCTCTGTTCCAATAGCCCTATGTCCTGTCTACAATTTTAACACAGGACTGCATCACACGTAGCAGCTCCTACTCACTTGCCTGAACTTACAGGAAAGAACACCTGTCGAATATATTTGTATTTGCAATACAGTATTTTAAATGGTTTAAACCAGTGTTTTTCAAACTGGGCAATTTTAAGATGCGTGGACTTCAACTCCCAGAATTCCCCAGCCAGCATCCTGGCT